TTCATTTTTTTTTTTTTGTGTGTTCTGTTTTTCAGGTAATATCTTACACCTCTTTTAAAAAAATACCTATCTTTTAAATTTATTACTTCTTAATTTTGATTAGCAATTATAGCAGCACAATTCACAATAGCTAAATTGTGGAACCAACCCAGATACCCTTCAGTAGATAAATGGATAGGGAAACTTTGGTATGTATATCCAATGGAACATTACTCAGCATTAAAAGAGAATAAAATCATGGCATTTTCAGGTAAATGGATGGAGTTGGAGAATATAATATGCTAAGTGAAGTAAGCCAATTCCAAAAACCCAAAGGCTGAATGTTTTCTTTGATATGAGGATGCTAACTCATAATGGTGATGAGGGGAAGGGAATGGGAGGAATGGAGGAACTTTAGATAGGGCCAAGAAATACTTTCGTATTCTCCAATCATTCATTTCTTTTTCTTTCTCATTCTATCCTAGCTTCACTAATTCAACATGCATTATCTTCTCTGGTTTTTCCCTGAATAAGATCCTCTGTCATGTTGTTGCTTTCATCTTAGTCTTACATTCTGAATTTTCCGTCTTTGGTGTTCTATGTCTGTCAGTTTATATTAAAGAGTGAATCACTAAAAAAGTTGATTGTAAGTTCTAAATGAAAGAGTAAAACAAAAAGGCTAGTTACTGAGTGGGTGAGTGGCTAGCTGACTTTTCTTTTTATAATTATAGCTCTAATATCTGTAGCTCTTTGAGGATAGTTCTGCTTCTACATAAGAGTATCTCATTCAATTTTACTAATGATTCTCTGATTTCTGAGGTTTTTGAGTTAAGAGACAGATGTGGGTAGGGAAGATATCCATTATTCAGTATGCAGATTCTCACATAGTCCTTACATGACAAATCACCATTGCCCACCCATGTGCCTACATGGCACATACATCTTTTTTTAAAATAATATTTCAGGTATCCTGTAACTTGCTTCATAATAACTTTCTTACCACCCTGCTTTCCATTTAAGCTTGATGTCCTTCACATCTACTTAATAACATTGTTATGGTTCAGATATGAGGTATCTTCTGAAAAGCTCATGTATTGATGCAGGAATGTTCAGAGATGAAATGATTAGATTATGAGAGCTGTAACTTCATTGGTGGATTAATTATTTGAATTGATTACTGGGTGGTAACTATAGGAAGGTAAGGTATGGTTGGAAGAAGTAAGTCATTGCGGGGTGTGCCTTTCTGGATTATATTTGTCCTCAATTGATTTCTCCCTGTCTTTCAGCTTCCTGGATGCAATGAACTGAGAAGCTTTCTTCTGTCACACCTTTCTTCTCTCACACCCAGAGCAATGGACTTGGCTTATCATGGACTGAACTTCTAAAAACATCAGCTCCAAATAAACTTTTCTTCATCTAAAATAAACTTTTCTTCCAAATAAACTTTTCTTCATTGTTCTTGTCAGGTATTTTGAACACAGAGACAAAAGACTGACTACCGCACTTACTTTTTTTTCCCTTCAGTCTGCCTTCTACCTTAATACTTTGCATCATGATTTGAGTTAAAGACATTCAAATGCAGTTTCATCAAACATGGAGTTTGATCTTTTTTTTTTTTTTAATCACTCTTGTTATTTGAGGGTCTGATCTTTCTTGG